GGGGGGGGGGGGCGCAAAAGAATCTACTGGGTGGAACAAGATCTGGTTTTGCTCTGACTTTGAAAATGGCAACAAGTCAGCTATTCAGTCTGTTGGTTTAGATTTAACTTCTTGGGTGGCTTCTGGCTGATCTGAACAGGGGTCATCTCTTTGGGTCTCCCCTCTTGGGGAAATAGGACAGCCCCTCTCATCTCAGTCACCATCCCCTCCCTCTGAATTCGTTTGTTTGTAAAGAAAAGGTGTCTAGAAGCATTTGTCTCTGGAACAATTACTTTAAACATGGTTACAATACAAACTTCAGTTCAAACACAGAAGAGATTTACTTAGCAAAGTTCCTTTCACCCACCAATTACACAAATATAAGCCTCAACACCACAGTTAAGAGGACCAGTAGAGAGAACCTCATGTTTGGAACACAAAAGGGGAAATAAAAACCAAACCAAACCCAAACAGAAAACCCCCAGAAAAACAAGGGGTGAGAGGGAAGGGGAGGAGAGCTAACACAGCACACATTACAGTGTCCGGGTACACAGGAGCCCAGCGCGATAAAAGGGCTCGGCACACATTGAGTAACAGTCCTGGTGATATTTGGTCATATATTCATCAACTACTGACTCTGGAGCGGCTGTTATTGATTGAAGCAGTGACAAATCAAACGGAAAAGGAGGCCTTGGTAGCAAAGGAAGGAGCAGGCTTCAAGTTCTGCAAGCCTTGTGCACTCCACTGTCCAGCTCCCCAGAAACACTGAACTGGGCGGGCCCCGTTCCGGCCCAGCAGGGCGAGAGGTCACTGGGTGAGGCTAACTCGGGTGCTGATTTCCTACTTCCATCAGAAAGCATGCACGTGGACACATGCGGACACCCACCTGTTAGTGGCCAAGCATCAGTGGCAACGGCCTCCTCACCTCCTCGGCCCCATTCCAGGCAGGGTGGGCAAGGACATCATGGCCCACTGCTAATACTGAATGCAGGCTGGAGTGGGCCCCAGACCAGGTCCTCCGAGGGGCCCAAGGGTAGCCCAGCCGCCCAAAGAGCCTACAAGTGTTTCTCTTTTGGATTCAGGCCTCAGAAGAAGTATTGATGCTGGAAGGGAAGCTTTTGGCCCTGGTGATTATAATGCTCTCTGCTTTGGAAGAACAAGTTTCTGAATTTTTTTTTGGTGTTTTTAATTACTTAAAAAAAGGATCAAAAAGAATTGTTACAGCTAAACTCTCTAGCAGATATTGCTCATTAAGAATTACAAAAGCAAATGCAATTACTCGCAGGATGTGGGAGAAGAAAAAGGGGCATTTCTGGAGTCTTTGCCACCTCCTAGAGGAGACTGGACTCTCTATGTGGTTGTGGGGTCCCTGGCACTCTACTTGGTGTGGCTCACATGTTCAGAGACACAACAGGCCTCGTATCTTCCCTCCAGCTCCTGGACTCAGCAAAGTGGGAGCCCTACTAGTGGGGAGGCCTGCTGAGCTGACTCTCCACACATGATCACTCTGACTGGGTCACTGGAAGGGGTGGGGGATCAGGCCACCCCCATGGACTCCAGCTGCCCTACCCAGAGGTGGAAGGGGACCAGGTGGTGCCAACTACATTCTGGACTTCGCCAGGGTAAGGGAGCGCTCTTGCACCCACCCATTGAGGTGAACTGTCCTGCACCAGTATCCTGGGACCTCTCTCACAAGCACTGGAGAAACAGTGCAAAACCCGGGTGCTGCCTGGAGCCTCCTTAGCTTGGCACAGGGAAGCCCTTGAAAGAAGCGAGGAAAGACCACAGATCTGCTTGGACAGAAGAAGTGACCAGCAGACAGATTTGTCGGTGTGTTGTTTTTTTTTGTTTTTGTTTTTTTTTCCCTTGTCCTATGCTACGGTTATCAGAAATATTGTAATTAAGCAACAGGTATAATTTTAACAGGTCTTTGTGTGTGTGTGTGTGTGTGTGTGTGTGTGGAGCCACAAGCAAAATGAGTTTATAATTGTGCAATATACAGATATATATATAAAAATTCAACTGCTTTGTGTGTCTAGTTGGTGCATTAAATAAAAGGGACAGAAAAAACAAAAAGCAAAATTAAAAAGCAAAACAAAAGCCCAGGACAGAGAAGACCAAGCAGGCCTATGCATATAGTCTATAAGATACCGGATATAATCAGGGTCACCAGGAAAAACAGCTTTGTCACTTGACACACAAACACTGCGGGGAGAGGGACTACCAGTGGACAGGAGCCAAACCTCTTGGCATTTTCATCTTATTTTCTCTTGCTGCTAAGCAGGACCTGAGAAAAGGTAAGACAGAAGGGGAGCTAGAGGAGCAAAGACAATTTGCAAGTTTCCCAAATGCTCTGAAACTCAAGGCCAGATTTCCCCTGTGAGGGTCTCAGCTGTGCTGGAGGTGGGGGCACCTATCCTTACACTCACCCTCCCTCTGCCTCAGCTCTCAAGGGTGAGGAGCTAGTGGGGCACACACTACAGTGAGTGCTCAGGCTTCTGTCGTCACCTCCGAGTTCAGAAGGGGACGCCACTTCACCAGGCCATAGACCCCAAGGAGAACAGAGCACGGGAATGTCCTCAGGGGACAGGCTGTGCCACAGGCAGAGGCCAAGTGGGAGACATCACTCTTTTCTAGTTACCTGGGCCCTAGTTAGAACTCATTTTTTCTTGACAAATCAGAGCTTCTGGTAGGCCCTATGGAGATGAGAATGGAGCAAGAAACAGGTGGTGCTGGCGTGAGAATGATGCAGGCCTTCACAAGTCCCTGGTGACCACTCTGCTTCCCACACCAAGAGCTAGGCTCCTGTAGGTTTGGGATCAGGTGGGCCACTAACCTCCAGGCCACCCCAGAGGATGGGGGCAGAGCCAAGTCCTCAGGGACTGCTACCCAAGGGGAGATGGACTCTCTAATGACAGGATGGCTCTGAGTCTCAGATCCAGCAGCTTTGGGCTAGAATCCCCCTTGCCTGCAGCACTCACCACACATCAGGCCAAGCTCCAAGTATTTTTAGATCACAATTTTTGCAAAAGCTTGCTCTTGTTTGTTCAGAAACATTAAAATGTAATTTTTTGCCAAATATTTTCTAGGTTTTTCTTCTGAATTATTGAGAGTGGGTTTCAATGTTCACTTTTTTTCCCTTTTAATATGTAACTACAGACCCTGGGGGAGGCAGTATCCTAGCAATTTATAACAATTAGGCCTTTTCTAAAGATTGGTCTAAAAGAAAAAGACACAAAACTGGAGATTCAACAAACCCCTCCAGAGTGGAAGGGCTCACTGACCAAGAGCAAAGATGGATTCTTGCAGAAAGTACAGTAAGAGCAGGAATCCAACAAAGCAGGGACATAGCCACAGGCCTGGTAATGTTGCTGTGCTTGCCCACGGGCCAGCGGCTGGCACTTGGGGGACTGGCTAGGCAAACACCCATACGGCTCTAGACATGGCTTGCTTCCTGAGGTCTGGGCCATTGGTCCTAGACTCTGTGCACAAAACTCGCATCAGGAAGCAATTCAGGGCAATGGCTCCAGCTAGGAATGGGTGTACAAAGGTCTCCAAGAACCAGTACCTGTGACCTCCCCTGACCACGTTAGTCCAGAGAGCCCAGTGGGAATGCTCCACAAGATCCAGCTGGCCCTCTTGTGAGTTTAGTTCATAACCTTTGCCCCCTCCTGGGCTTGGGCTGCTTATTAAGAGTTACTTAAAATCCAGAGGGCCTGCCTCCTTTCCCAGCAAACATGGAAGTTTGTTTCTGGCTAGTGCCCTTTCATGATGGCTGTCACAGCAATGACAAACTGGGCAGAGGAGCAGGCAACAACTTGGGGCTGTTGCAGGTCTCACTGCCACTGTTTTTGGCTTCTAGCCTGGAACATGCCACTGAACAGACTGTTGTCCACATCTGCATGGGGTCTCAGTAGAAGCCAGGTGCTGGCTGTGCCCAGTGTCCACAGGCCACCACCATGACTTTCACATTCCAGGGAGCTGAGGGGCTGGGGTCCTTGGCTAGTTTGGCACTGATGGACTGGGGACGTGGCATTTTTAGGTGTCTCCTATGCCAGCAGAAGGGAACTGTACTAGAGCCTGGTTGTGGCCCAGTTCCCCAGTTCACTGAAGTGTCAAAGCTAGCAATCCCACTGGTAAGGACAAGCTCACCAATGGGCGGATAGGTAGGGCAGGGCTGGCGCTGGCATTGTGAAAGGAGCTCGAGGACATACAGAATTCTGTAAAGAAAGGAGGTAGTAACTAACAACTAGAATGATGGTTGGGGAGATTGAATGTGACTCTGTGACCTAGACCCATGGGGATCTGAATGTCGCTGGTCAATTCCTGTATTCTTCAGACCCTAAAAGATGTCCCCCAATCTTCGTGGTGTTCAAGTACATACAAAATCAAGGTCACACCCCAAACTGGGCGGAACACAGCTGGTGAGAATTCCAGGCTTTCCCTCCAACCTCCCATCAACCTGACTCCAGGAACAGAGGCAGCATGGAAGCTATAGGGCACCAGCCCATCAGGGGGACAAACCACCAAGGTGGCCTGCTTAAAGGTGACTCACTCATGATGCCTGTATTTGGGGAAGAGAAGGGAATGTGGAAGAAAGAGGGGGGACCATAAGGAGTCTCAGGCATCGCCTGCAGCTTTGGAACTCTAGGGGAGGAAGCTGGGGAGCTAAGGGGCTGCGGGTTGAGCCGGAGAGAAAGAAAACAACCCTTGAGATGCTGTGTTCTTGACCATCAATGCCCAGTCAGAACCCTGAATAAACGGTCATGGGTAAAAAGTCGGTCTGGTGGGTCCCGCACTCCTCTTCCCAGGACCAGATGGTAATGAGCCGATGGGGAGGCCAGCCAGCTCCTGACATTGGTCCCAGGAGCCACATTTCACTGGACTAGGTATATAACACAAAAAAACCCAGCCAACCAAAATGGACAGCATCTCTATGACAAACTGGCTGAATGCAAAGCTCACATGGATAGGTGTCTTTTGGGGATGCCAGGAGTGCAAGGCCACTGCGGGGTCAGGAGCCTTTTGTCCTTGGAGGAAGAGGGGTCCCAAAGGACTTGCTTCTTCCTCCGACCCCCCTCTCCTCCTGGGGAGGTGTCAGAAGTAAAGCCCAGAGAATTAACAGCAGAGTGGAGTTGCTTGTGGGACTTTGCAGCATAAGGAAATGGATACAAAAATGCTAGAAAGGCCAACTATGACTCTACAAACAGAATGGGCAAACTCCCTTGCTTCTAACCATTCCGGAAGAGACAGACACGGTTTTTTCTTAAGCTACTGATCGGAACTGTCAACTATGGTTCCTGATCACTAAGGACTGACAAGGAAGTGCTAGACAGTTTCTAGGATGTTTCACTCCTTCATGGTTACACCGCAGTAAGGAAGCCAGGGGACAATAACTAAAATACACGAGACAACACGCACTTGACAGTTCATGGCAGCAGCTCACATGGGACGTGCTTGTGGGTGTTTCTGGAAGCATAAGACTGCTGTCTCATTTGCTACTTTGATAAGGTACTTCTCAGTTGGACAGATTTAGATATAAGAGACATCTCTGTAAACACAGAAAAGGATATACCAATATGATGAAGATATGCAGCTAGATAAGGACTTCCTGAACAGAGAGGTTGAAAGGATGGGATCCCACAGCAAACCCAAGCCTCTAAGCCCCTACACCATAACCCTGGCACAGACGTGGAAATGTGTGCTACACTGACCCTACCCAGTCTCCAAGAAGCAAAAGTCAAATGTTTTCCATTAAAAAAGAACTTGTGGTTAATGGAGGAGCCTGGGGGGCAAAAAAGGGGGTCCTAGGCACTTGTCCCAGGTCAGGTCTGGGGGCATCTGCATTTGTTCCGCCTGCTGCCCTGCTGCATTGCACTGAGCTAGCCAGGCCTGGCAGAGGCCAAGGCCAGGGCTGGGCTGCTTGATGACTGTGTGGCAGACCATGGGGTGCCTCTGTTCTGCCCTCAGCTCCCAAATCCAAATCTGGTCCAATTTCTCCCATCCACTTCTCTCGAGTGGAAGGTTGAGGAGGCTCGGTGTCTGGGTTCTGGCCTAGGAGAGCGAGACCTTGCTATTCTCTTGCCCTTCAGAGAGGCTGAGGTGCTAGGGTCAGGTGGACTCAGCAGAGCCCAGGGCTTCCTCAGGGCTTAGAATGGGGTGAGGCTGGGCTGGGTTGGTGTCGGGAAGGCCAAGGGCAAAGTGAGTTCTGGGGGCATGAGCTAACCAGAATCAGTTTGGGGTACAGCTGAGCACTGTGGCTGCTTGGAACAGAAGGGATGAATGAGGAGGAAGAAGGAGGGGAAGAAATGAAAGTATGAAATGACAGAAGGCAGAAATGGGAGAGAAGAGAAAGCAATCAGGAAGTCCTTATAAAATTGCAGCAAACACTTAGAGTTTCGGAGCTTCGTGGGAACCCTATGTGCTGAGCCCACTTTAAAACAAGCGCAGGTATCTACAGATCCAGGCAGTTTAAACACCATCATGTCTGGTGGCTTGAGGGACAAAATGCCACCAATTCAAGCCATTTTGCTCTCAGAGCATGTTTGTTTTGAAGTGGGAACATGAAGACTCAATAGTGCAAATAGTTCTAAGCTGTCCCTAAGGAGTAGAATTGGAAAGTTTTGAAAGAACATTCTCCCCTCCTTCCCCTTGGCCCCTGCCCCACTGAGCCTCTAACTGCCAGTCAGACTGCTCTAAGTGACTAGGAGTCCTTCCTGCCCCGCTGTGCTCTGCTGGTCCGGAGCTGGGCCAGCCTGCCTGCACCTCGTCCTGCTGCCTCCATGGCCTCTCTCTAGTGCCATCCACTGGAGGCTGGCCCTGCGCCATACTCTCCTCTGGCTCAGGCCAGTCTACACCTAGCAGCTCAAAGGATGACTCTCTCCAAGCCATGCCAGAACTGGAGTGAACAGGTGTTACTTTCCTGTCCTGTAAAATGTCCTTGTCCGTTTTGGATTGGGGCTGGAGTGGGGCCAGATTTGTGCCACTGCAGAATCACACGGGCTGTAGCCACTGGCCATCTCCGTCTTCTTCTCTAAAGAATCCAACTGTCTCTTCTGCCTCACACCTCCTTGTCCCAACATGGTGGGAGTGGGGGAGGTAGGGAAGCTGGGGGCAGGGTGGAGGGAGAGGAGAGCTGAGACTGGGGTACCAATGGCACCGAAAATGGGAGTGTCCTCTTAAGTGCTCTCTGTCCTTAACGACCACATTGGGGGAGGCCTGGGTGGGAGGGGAGGTGCAGGCATACCCTAAGAAGCCTGGTCAACAGCTTGTCTGGTCAGTAGTATCTGCAGCAAGCCTTGTTGAAGAAGCCTAGTTTAGAAAAGTGCAAAGCTACTTCTGGCCCTGGTTAGGTCTTCAACCTGACTGTGCTTGTCGGTAAGAAAAACATCCCCAATGCTCCAACTACTCCCACCCTGAAGCCACGAAACTCTAAGTTTACTGAAAGAAAAAAAAATATTTTTTATTTCAGTTAATCGGGAAGCTTTGTCAGAGCCCTACCCATAAGGAGAAGAGACAACAGCTGCCTTTATTCTTGTTGGTTTGCTTTGCAATCCACACTGTGTAAAGTCAGCTAACTCTCTCGGTCACGGGCGTCCGGCTGTCCACAGGCTCCTCTCTGTTTGGCCTTGGCATGGAGGATGAAACAATGTCTTTCCGCTCTCCCTCCCCTCGGTGTTTGTACTTTTCTGCGGCTGTGGTGGCGGTTGCGACCGTGGGCTGAGTCTTAGCTGGCTCCTTGGTGCAGCCATCGCTCTCCAGCGAGCCTCCTCTCGGCATCTTCTCCTCTTTGCAGATGCTGCTGCTC